GCGGGCGGGTCGGGAAGGCGGGCCTAGGCGGCCAGGTCGAGCAGGCGGGTTGTTGCAGCACGAGTCCTGCACGAATCGCGAGGAAGGTTCAACCGATAGCGATTCCCCCCCTCAAGCGAGAGCTTGATTCCTGAGTGTCGAGGGCGCGGCGTCTGAACAAATTGCGAGGAAGTTCCACGCGAGAGCGCGATGTTTGCATAAACCGTGGGAACTATCAGCTGGGAGCCTCGATGCCCGTCCTCTTCGTTTTCAACTGCTCCCTCCCGGTCTTTCTCACCTGTCGCGCGTAATTGGTGCAGCCTTTGAAACAGGGGAAGAGAAGACGGATGGAACGGTGAGGGGAAAGGATGGAACACGAGAGAAATTAGCAGGAGGGGGGCTAGGAGCAGAAAGCACGTGGCAGAACCAGAAGGGCAGATCTGGCGGGCAGATTGTAGCGGGCGGGTCGGGAAGGCGGGCCTAGGCGGCCAGATCGAGCAGGCGGGTTGCTGTAGCGTGAGTCCTGTATGAATCGCGAAAAGAGCTAGAGCGATAGCGCGATTTCCAATTAAATCGCGAGAAATGCTAAAGTGAGAGCGTGATTCGTGAGAGTCGAGGGCGCGGCGTATGAACAACTTGTAAGGAAGTCTCACGCGAGAGCGCCATTTTCAAATAAGTTGTGAGGAAGTCCCGCGCGAGAGCGTGATATAAGAAATTGTGCAGAAGCATCAGGCGGGAACCGTTGTTGTTGTAAGCCGGGGGCCAACAACACAGGTTGAGCACGAAGATTTTCCTTGATAGATAAAACCTGGGTGCGAACCCCGCGGGGCTAACTCAATTGAAAAAGCTCTATGTGCACCGGCGGGGGGATCAGCAAAAAGAAATATTCAAGAATTAGGTCTCAACAGCAACAATCATGTTAGTACTGTTGGTTCTGACCTGCTCGAGTGTCATTCCACGCGTATTTCCCAAACCCACGATATCCGCCCTCTTCGTCTTCGATCGTATCCCTATTGGAATGTATCTGTTTCCGTACAGGCCAGGCCCCGGCAAGCAGCGGGGCGTCCGCGGACCGCCGGCCTGGCCAGCGGCAGCGCTGATCGGCGGCAGCCCGACCACCTAGAGGGACGGACAGGGGACCGACCACGACGACGAAAACGACGAAAACGACGACGACGACGACGACGACGGCAACGACGACGACGACGACGACGACGAGCGAAAGCGAGAGCGAGAGCGAGAGCGGGGCCACGAAGGGCAGGAAGGGGGCCACAAAGGGCGACAGCGGGGCCACGAAGGGCATGCGGGCAAGCGCATGGGCCCACGTAGAGCGTGAACGAGCGGGGGCCACGAAGGGCAGATAGTGCGGGGCCACAGAGGGCAACGACGGGGCCATTGAAGTTAGCAACGGGGCCACGTAGGACAGCGAATGGGCCACAAATGGCGACAGCGGGGCCACGAAGGGCATGCGCATGGGACCACGACGGGCGCGAACGAGCGGGGGCCACGAAGGGCAAACAACGCAGGGCCGCATAGGGTAACGACGGGGCCATTGAGGGTAGCAGCGGGGCCACGTAGGACAGCGAGGGGGGCCGCGAAGCACGAAACGCACGCATATGGGGCCACGACGGGCGCGAACGAGCGGGGGCCACGAAGGGCATACATATACGATGCCACAAAGGACAGCGGGGAGGGCCACGAAGGGCTGCAACGGGGCCACGAAGGGCAGCGAGGGGGTTAGGGCTGCAACGGGGCCACGACGACGGGCAGCGAGGGGGCCGCGAAGGGTTGCAACGGGGCCAAAAAGGGCAGCGATAAGGCCACGAACTGCTTGCCAAGGGTCCACAAAGGGCAGCGACGGGGCCACGAAGGGCCGCAACGGGGCCACGAAGGGCAGCGAGGGGGGCCACGAAGTGCTGCAACGGGTCCACGAAGGACAACGAGGGGGCCACGGAGGCCTGCAATGGGCCCGCGAGGAGCAGCGAGGGGGCCACGAAGGGTTGCAACGGGGTCACGAAGGGCAGCGAAGGGGCCACGAAAGGCATACACGAGACCACGAAGGGCAGCGAGGGGGGCCACGAAAGGCATACACGAGGCCACGAAGGGCAGCGAGGAGGCCACGAAGGGCTGCAACGGGCCCACGAAGGGCAGCGAAGGGGCCCCGAAGGGTTGCAACGGGGCCACGAAAGGCAGCGAGGGGGGCCACGAAAGGCATACACGAGGCCACGAAGGGCAGCGAGGGGGCCACGAAGGGCTGCAACGGGGCCACGAAGGGCAGCGAGGCCCCGATTCCTAAGTAAGACGTGGGGGGTCCAAGGCGTGAGCGCGGCTTCTGGGTGCCTGAGTGTAGGGAGCGCGGCGCTTTAGTAAATTGCGGGGAACTCCAATTCAACAGCTTGATTCTTTATTCTTTAGTACACTGCAAGCACGTCACCAACGAGAGCGCGACTCCAGAGCGCCGATAGAGCGATTCCTGCACAACGTGCAAGGAAGTCCCAAGCGAGAGCGCGACTCCTGAGTAAAATGCAAGGAAGTCTCAGGCGAGAGCGAAATGGTGAGGAAGTCTCAGGCGGGAGCCGTTGTTGTTGTAACCCGAGGGGCCAACAACGCAGTTTGAGCACAGTGACTTTCCCTGATAAAGAGCATGGTGCGAGCCCCGGGGGAAACACGTCAACTGCAAAACACAATGGTCACCAGAGGGGGGATCTACAGTAATTATTCTTCCGCAGTGAGAGCTCAACAACAAACCAACAACAACAACAATCATCTCACCCTCATGCGCGATACTTCCACACGCAGCATGCGACCATCATGATAACCACCCCCATCCTGGGGGAGTATTGTTCTATCGCGGGGGTCCGTTATTCCCATTCCCAGATCTCCCGCCCAATGAGGTCTTGCAAACACCTCCTCCGACGAATTTCAACACATCCCGCCTCGAACACACATGCCCGCGCCCTGCTGCGCCGATGCGAAACCGCCAGTGGAGCCCCAGCCAAGGGTAAAGCACAAGGAAGTATCCAGCATCGAGCGACAGGATTGGTTTGGCGGGAACCAATGCAGAAGAGAGTAGGGCGTTAGTCAAGCGTGAAACAACACGAAGTCTCGAGCGGGAGCGCTGAGCGCTGGTTCTGTTGGGGCGGCGGCTGTCGGCGGCGAGGAGATACATCGCCTTGAATAAGAAAGGAAGAAGTCTCGAGCGGGAGCCGCGGTTTTGTCGGGCCGGGGGCTGTCGGCGGCGAGGAACAGCACCGTCTTCAGGAAACATGGAGGAAGCCTCGGGCGGGAGCGTTGTTCTTGCTGGGGGCGGCGCCAACTCAAAAGAGAGTTGGGCGCCACTCCAGCGTAAAACGGGAGGAAGTCTCGGGCGGGAACGCTGGTTTTGTTGGGGCGACAGCTTTCGGCGGCGACCAAAAGCACCGGCCCTGAGTAAAGTAGGAGGGAGTCTCGAGCGGGAGCGGGGCGGCGCCGATGACAGAAAGAGTAGCGCGCCAGTCTAAGGCAAAACAGGACAAAATCTCGAGCGGGAGCGTTGGTTTTGTTGGGGCGGCGGTTTTCGGTGGCGAGCAAGAGCAAGGACTCTGGGTAAAAAAAGGAGCAAGTCTCGAGTGGGAGCGTTGTTGTTGTCGTTGGGAGGCCGTTTTTGGCGCCCCCCCAAACCACTCGAGCGTGAGCCCCATTTTCAACAAAAAAATGTAGCTGGCGCCGAGGCGCCTTGGGGGGGTCCAGCAAAAAGAATTATGTTCTTGCTTGGGGCGGCGCCAAATCAAGGGAGTTGGGCGCCAGTCCAGCGTAAAACGGGAGGAAGTCTCAGGCGGAGCGCTGGTTTCGTTGGGGCGTTTTTTTTTCGGCGGCGAGCAAAAGCACCGTCTCGAAGTAGAAAACAGGAAGTCTCGAGCGGGAGCGTTGTTCTTGCTGGGGGCGGCGCCGATGAGAGAAGGAGTAGCGCGCCAGTCCAAGGCAAAACGGGAAGAAGTCTCGAGCGGGAGCGTTGGTGTTGTTAGGGCGGCGGTTTTCTGCGGAGAGCGAGGGCAAAGACTCTGGGCAAAAGAGCAGGAAGTCTCGAGCGGGAGCATGGTTGTTGTTGTTGGGGGGCCGTTTTTGGCTTCCCCCCAAACCATTCGAGCGTGAGCTTCATCTCCGATGAAGATGCAGCCAGCGCCGAGGCGAGAGCGCCACGTCGCCTGGGGGAGTACCACAATAATATTGCTTATTAGTTAACATTCCATCATGTTAAGACTGTTCGCTCCGATCTGCTCACGTGCCAATCAAAACGTATATCCCGAGCCCTCGGTACCCGTCCTCGTCGTCTTAGATCGTACCCCCTGTGGGGGTATATCTTCCTTACCTGCAAAGCGCACGTAACGCAGCCCCCAAAACAGGGGAAGAGAGCACGGATGGAAGGGGGAGGAGAAAGGATGGAGCACGAGAGAAATTAGCAGGAGGGGGGCAAAGAGCAGAAAACAAGTGGCAGAACCAGACGGGCAGATCGGGTGGGTAGACCCATAGCGGGCAGGGTCGGGAAGGCGGGCCCAGACGACCAGGTCGAGCAGGCGAGTTGCTGAAGCGTGGGTCCTTCATGAATCGCTTGGAAGCCTCGAGCGATAGCGCGCTTCCCAAGTAAATCGTTAGAAAAACCAAAGCGAGAGCGTGATTCCTGAGCGCCGAGGGCGCATCGTCTGAATAAGTTGCGAGGAACTCCCACGCGAGAGCGCGATGCGTACATGAATTGTGAGGAAGTCCCGCGCGAGAGCGCAATTCGGGAATACATTGTGAAGAAGTATCAGGCGGGAGCCGCTGTTGTTGTAATCCGGGGGCCACGGGCCCAGTTTGAGCCTAGTGGCTTTCCTTTTGAAAACAGAGTGCGAGCCCCGCGGGAAGCACTTCAATGGTCACCAGAGGGAGGGGTCAACGGTAATCATTCTTCTGTAGTCAGAGTTCAACAACGAAAAACGTAGAAGGTCTGACATAGCCAGACGAAGAGCAGCGACGGGACAGCGGATCGGCATGCCCGCCGCCAGGGCGGAAGAGGCACGCTCCGCTGGACGATCGCGCAGGATCCAAAGTACACGGGCTTGATCGAAGTGCGGGACGTCCCAGACAGGCTCCGTCGGGGCCAACCTCCCGGACTCATCCCCCTGCGTTCCAGGCCAAGAGTCCAGCTTCCTCTTCGCTCCTCGTTCCCCCTCCTATTCCTATTCCTCCTCCTCCTCCTCCTCTTCCTCCTCCTCCTCCTCATCCTCCTCCTACTCCTCCTCCCTCTCCCCCTCCCCCTCCCCCTCCTCCTCCTCCTCCTCCTCCTTCTCCTCCTCCTCCTCCGCCTCCTCCTCCTCCTCCTCCTCTCTTCTCCTCTCATCTCCTCTCCTCCTCTCATCCTCCTCTTCCTTTTCCTCCTCGCCTGTGCTCTCCTCTTGCGGCACTCCTCTCCTCCTCCTCTTCTCCTCCTCCTCCTAATCGCTGTGTCTGCTCTTCTCTCTCATCCCAGCCTCCGTCCGACTCGACATATGAAGGTTCGCTTCTCCGCTCCTCCTCTTCTCTCCTCCTCTGTCCTTCTCCTCCTCTCCTCCTCTCTTCTCTCCTTCTCGCCGCCTCTCCCTCTCATATTATTTCTCCTCCTCTCCTTCCTCTCCTCCTCTCTCTTCTCCTCTCTCTCCTCTCTCTCCTCCTCTCCTCCTCTTCCTTGTCTCCTATCCCCTCCCTCCTCCTCATCCTCCTTCCTCTCCCTTCCTCCTTCTCCTCTCCTCCTCCGCCTCCTCCTCCAGCGTACTCCTCTCTCTCTCTCCTTTCCTCTCCTCCTCCTCCTCTCCTCTCTCCTCTCTCCTCTTCTCCTCTCCTCCTCCTCCCTCTCTCTCCTCTCTCCTCCTTTCCTCCTCTCCTCCTCCTCCTCCTCTCTCTCCTCCTCTCTCGTCCTCCTCTCTACTCCTCCTTCCTTTCTCTCTCTCCTCCTCTCCTCTCCTCCTCCTCTCCTCATCCTTTCCTCCTTCCTCCTCTCTCCTCTCCTCTCCTTTCCTCCTCCTCCTCTCCCTCTATCTCTCTCATCCTTCCACCTTCTCTCCCTCTCCTCCTTCTCTCCTCCTCCTCCTCCTCTCCTCCTCCTCCTCCTCTCTCCTTCTCTTCTTCTCTCCTCCTCTCTCTTCTCCTCCTCTCTCATCCTCCTCTCCTCTCCTCCTCTCCTCTCCTCCTCCTCACCTTCTCCTCGCCTCCTCCTCCTCCTCCCTCTCCTCCTCCTCCTCCTCCTTCCTCCTCGTCATCCTCCTCCTCATCCTCCTTCTCCTCCTCGCTGCTATTCCTCCTCCTCCTCCTCATCCTCCTCCTCCCCCTCCTCCTCGTCCTCTTCCCCCGCTTCCTCCTCCTCATAGCCAACTTCGCAGCAGCTTCCTGCAATAGTGCACGACGCTCTGTGGCACGCCCACTCGACATCGTGATCCAGCCAGTCTTCGTACAGCAACGGGGCTGACGGCCCCACCAAGTACTTGGGATAGTATACTCCATGGAAATCTCCCTTCTCAAGATATCGAAGTAGGGGCACTCGGCAACAAAGTGGCGCATGCTCGGGTTGGCGTCCATCCCGCACAGGTCGCACTGCATGATATTCTCCCGCCTTCGGGTCGGGGTCCAGACCGCTCGACCACGGTAAATATCCAGGAGAGAAGTATATTCGATGGAAAGTTGGGCCTTGAACTCGGACAAGGTCTTCATTGACGAAGCCTCCAGATCGGTATCCTCAACTCATTCAGCATCTTGGCGTGTGCGCCGCACCGAGGCCAGCGCGCGTGCACGACAGACCTGTCGAAGCAGATGCTCGGCATGTGGTTCGTCACTCCATACATAACGGCGGGCCCCAAAAGCCCTCAACACGAGTGGGTCATGTTCCTCAGCTGCTCGACGAAAGAGAACACCTCTATAAGGATCAGATATGACGAACTCCAGACCCACACTCTCAAAGTAATAATTGAAATTCTTCGTCAAGAACGCACTCCATGTCAAAGTCCATGTCGAGGCCCTCTCCACGGCCAAAAGCACCGTGCTATAAATAGGATGTAGATGTACATGACTGGCCCAGAACCTTCCGCGGCATCACCACGAGCACCTCGTTCTGAGAACACTCTTGAACACATGATCGGTTAGAACGCCTGGTGGAAGGGTGAAGACTGGGCCACACCAATTCCACAACGGCTTCACATACGCTTGGCAAACTCTGCACCGAATCGCAATACCTCCTGGTACATCCCGGAGTCGAGCCACAGCTTTGAATGTCTTGTCCCAGCCGGCCGTTGGGGTGATAGTTTGATGTGGATCGTCGGGGACGGCGAGGATGCCGATGTGTTCGATGCGCTTGGGCCCCTGGTCCACACCTGGCGCTTCTCTACGTTCTCAGTCGCCCCCGTCTGCGTGTCGAAGAAGTCCGTCGCACTCAGGTCGGACTCCAGGATATCGGTGCTCGCTTGTACCATCGAGCGGTCATCCATGAATAAGAACTTCTGGCGTGCGATGTTCCAGGGCGCAAGCACTTGGCATAAGGTCTTGGGGGCTGCTGAATCCCCTTGAGGAAGAGAACGGGTCGGCCACAATGCACTTTCCGATACCTCTCCAGCAACTTGACATTGTCGAGGTCCCTTCCAAGCGGCTTGACAAATTATTTGCGCCTGAAGCGTTACTCGACCTCGCTGACGGGCACGCTCTGATGATGATGATGATGATGATGATGATGATGATGATGATGATGATGATGATGATGATGATGATGATGATGATGATGTGCTTTGTTTTTGCAAGGTTTCCTTGGGAGAATCGCAAGAAACAACACATAGACCTACATGGCGCGCGTTAGCGTTGCACCTGGTCGATCCTCTTGCCAGCCGTTGTATTGGCTGAGTCGGAGGCCAAGGTGTGAGTGGATCCTGGCTGTCAGGCATGTCGACCCTTGCGTTCTAGGGGATATTCGCGACAATGCGGCGCATTGGAGTATTACTCGTCGGTCAAGAGGTACTGCGTGTGTTGTTGCCGTGGAAACCTTTTCAAGGCTCATGGATCGAACGTCAAGATGTGATTTCAAAGCGCTGGTCTGAAACATCTGGCCATGGCGGCTGATGATGGTGCTGACGCTGATGCTAGAAGGCCGATGGATTGCAGCTTGCATTGTGGAAGTAGGTCATCGGATCGATGGGACTAGACGGTTTAAAACCCGCCGCTGGCGGTGTTTGATGAGTCGAGCAGGTGGGTTGCAATCGTTGGGCACGAGCGGGATAATTCTGAGACGCGTTGTAATAGTTCATGAGCGCGCCATTATGGAGGAGAAGGAGGAGGAGTGCAAGCATCTACGAGTCGTGCGTCGCGTTGTCTCCCGCTTCCTTCCCCCCTTCCTTCTCCGAAGGCTTCCGCTGCGGAACAGAATAGCTCTAGCGGCTGTGAGGAGAGCTGGGGAGGAGCTGTGGCGTGGCAGAGCGAGAACTGGCGAGGAGGGAGACCCAGGTCACGAGCATCGCTCGTCGCCGGGAAAAAACACACTGTGGGGGGGGGGGGGGGGAAAAAAAAAAAACATAACAGACTTTTCTCACAGTGTGTGTGTGTGTGTTTTTTCCACAGTGTGCGTTTTTTACCACAATGTGCGTTTTTCCCACTGTGTGTGTTTTTTTCATAGACTTTGTGTTTTTTCCCACAGACGCTTCTCCCTCCCCGTCACGGTCAACAATCGGCCCCCGCACCCGCCCTGCCAGTCTCCTCGCCATCAGCGCGACGCTGCCGCGTGGCGTTTCACGACGCGACGTGTGTTGGCGGCTGTGTCGGGGCTGAGAAGCGCACGGCACTCGTTGTTCAGCGGCCCACTCACAAAGTTGACGGGCGCGCCGGACTCTTGGCCGAATGCCTCCCCGCCAGCGCCCCCCGGTGCGCTGGCTTCGAAATTGGAGGGGAGGCCGCAGAGAAGTCAAAAAGCTTCCCAAGAGCCTCCATCTTGGAGGCGCCTGGGGGGTCTGCTCTGGGTGGGCACCAGCAGAATAAGCCAGGAGGGGAAAGGAGGCAGATTCGGCATGGCGGCCCAGAGGGGCAGGGAACGAAACTTGTGTACAACCGTGCCGCTCCCCCCTTTCTACCGGCTGGAACCAGTGATGCCCTGCCTGAACCCTTGAGCCGGTTCCAACCTCCGTCCTCGACACTCGTTGCTCTAGGGGCGCGCTTCACGCGTCCGCCCCCCCCAGGTTCGGGCCGCAGGGCTCAGGAGCTCCGGCGGAGGCCATCACGCACCACGAGGTCGTGCCGACCGGGGCGCTGCAGCGGTGGAAGTTCACCCAAATGAACCTGAAGGGCTATCTGCGGGCATCTCGCTGTCACCGCCGCGGGCCCCCTAGGGAAGGGAGGGAGGGAGGGAGCGACGGAGGGAGGGAGTAGAGGGAGGAGAGGGAGGGGAAGGAGGAGAGGAAGTGGAGAGGCGGGCAGAGGGAGGAGAGGGAGGGATAGGGATGAGGACGAGGGAGGAGGAGGAGAAAGCAGGTGCGCTCGTGCCACACCTGGCAGCCTAGCAATTATCGCCCATCCTTTCTCAGTGCGTCGAGTCCTCTTCTATCAGCCGAGTGGAGTTTCCTCGAAGACCTTGATTCTTGGAAAATAAAATGTGAGGAAGTATCGGGCGGGAGCCGCTGTTGTAGTAAACGGGGGGCCAGGGGCTCAGTTTGGTGACTTCACTTTTCAATTGGACAACACAAGGGTCGGCGGACAGGGGGGTCAACAATACGTCGTCTTCAGCAGACAAAAAAAAGGCAAACATTTCAAGACTGTTCGCTCGTATCTGCTCGCGGGCCACTCAACACGTACATCCCAAACCCTCGATACCCGCCTTCTTCCTCTTCGATCGTATCCCTTGGAGATACCTCTTCCTTACCTGCAACGTGTATTCCGTGCAGCCCCTGAGGTAGGGAAGAGAGGACGGATGGAAGGAAGGGACAAGGGGAAAAGAGGATGATGGAGCACGAGAGAGAGTAAGTAGCAGAAGGGGGGCTAGGAGCAGAAAACAAGTGGCAGAACCAGACAGGCAGATCGGGCGGATAGGCCCTAACGAGCGGTCAGGACGGCGGGCCCAGGCGGCCAGGTCGAGCAAACAGGTTGCTCAAGCGTGCATCCTGCATGAATCTCGCAGAGGTCTCGAGCGATAGCGCGATTTGCAACGGGGCCACGAAACGCAGCGAGGGGGGCCACAAAGGAACGGGGCCACGAAGGGCAGCGAGGGGGCCACGAACGGCTGCAACGGGGCCACGAAACGCAGCGAGGGGGCCACGAAGGGCTGCAACGGGGCCACGAAGGGCAGCGAGAGGGCCACGCGACGGGGCCACGAAGGGCAGCGAGAGGGCAACGAAGGGCTGCAACGGGGCCACGAAACGCAGCGAGGGGGCCACGAAGGGCTGCAACGGGGCCACGAAACGCAGCGAGAGGGCCACGAAGGGCTGCGACGGGGCCACGAAGGGCAGCGAGAGGGCAACGAAGGGCTGCAACGGGGGGCAGCGAGGGGGCCACGAAGGGCTGCAACGGGGACACGAAGGGCAGCGAGGGGGCCACGAAGGGCTGCAACGGGGCCACGAAGGGCAGCGAGGGGGCCACAAAGGGCTGCAACGGGGCCACGAAACGCAGCGAGGGGACCACAAAGGGCTGCAACGGGGCCACGAAGGGCAGCGAGAAGGCAACGAAGGGCTGCGACGGGGCCACGAAACGCAGCGAGGGGGCCACGAAGGGCTGCAACGGGGCCACGAAACGCAGCGAGGGGGCCACGAACGGCTGCAACGGGGCCACGAAGGGCAGCGAGGGGGCCGCAAAAGTTTGCAACGGGGCCACGAAGGGCAGCGAGATCCCGATTCTTAAGTAAGCTGTGAGGGAGTCCTAAGCGTGAGCGCGACTCCTGGGTGCCTGAGTGTCGGGAGCGCGGCGCTTGCGATTCTTGAGTCAATTGCAAGCAAGTCTCCTGCGAGAGCGCGACTCCAGAGCGCCAAGAGCGATTCCAGAATCAATTGAAATGAAATCTCAAGCGAGAGCGCGATTCCGGAGTAAAATGCGAGGAAGTCTCAGGCGAGAGCGGGGGTCCTGTCTAAATCGTGAGGAAGTATCAGGCGGGAGCCGTTGTTGTCGTAATCCGGGGGCCAACGACGCAGTTTGACCCGAGTGATTTTCCCGGAAAAAACAGGGTGCGAGCCCCAGGGGGAGCACTTAAACCACAATGGTCACCGGAAGGGTGGTCAATTATGCTTATTTCTCACGAATGAGAGTTCAACAACAACAACAACAACAACAACAACAACAACAATCATTTAAGACTGGGGACACTCCGTTCTCACCAGTGCCAGGGTTTTCATAGGAGGCGGGCAATACCCCCACTTTGTGGGGGGGCCGGTTCAAGCTCTACCAAATTTCCAAACGACTCTTCGCCACCACCCACACCCAGCTTCCCGCCCTATGACGTTCGGACACTTCACTTCGTGGCATGCGGACGACCGTGGCTACTATTCAGGGCCCCGCGGCCGACGACGACGGCGTGCGCGCGCGAAGAAAAAACGAATGTGTCCCGCATGGTATTATTTGACAGGGATGATGGCCCTGGCAGGTGCGCAACCGTTGTTGCAGAAGTTCGAAAAAGTTGCTCGCAAGAGCCCGTTTGACAGAAATGTTGAAAAAATATTGGGTTTCCTCAGAAATCCGCAAGAGCGCGCAAGATGAATGTTTGAAACTTTTTTGTTGAAAAACCTTTGGGTTTTTCATGTTTTTATGTTAAAATCGCTACGAAAACTAAGGTTTTGGAAGGATTTCATCTTGCGCGCGCGAGTGTGCACTTCGTGTCATTTTTTGCAAAGGATTCTTGAAGTTTGGTTATGTTAGAACAAGAAATTTCATTTTATAGTGTTTTTTGCTAGGAAAGCGGGGGACAACAAAACAACCGGATCCGGACACCCACGTTTTGCCTGAGACTTCTTCACGAAAATGCTGAAAATGTGGCTGCGGCCTAGGCGCGGCGGGGGGGGCGCGCACCAGGGGCCCCAACAATAATTATTCTTTAGAATTAATCATGTTCAACAACAACAACAGCAGCAGCAGCAACAACAACAACAGCAGCAGCAACAGCAACAGCAACAGCAACAACAGCAACAACAGCAACAGCAACAACAACAACAACAACAGCAGACGCAGCAGCAGCAGCAACGACAAGAACAGCAACAAAAGCAACAACGACACCAACAACATCAACATCAACAACACCATTAGCAACAACAACAACAACAACAACCACAACCACAACCACAACCACAACCACAACCACAACAACCACAACAACAACAACACTAACAGCAGCAACAGCAACAACAACGACAACGACAACGACAATGACAACAACGTAACAACAACAACCACAACAACAACAACAACAATCATTTTACCCGAACGCGTGGTGTCTCCCCAGTGCCAGGGTTTTCATACGACACCAGGCAATACCCCCACTTCGTGGGGGGGCATTACAAGCTCTACCAAATATCCAAACGACTCTTCGCGACCACCCAAACCCAGCTTCCCGCCCTATGACGTTGGGACACTTCACTTCGTGGCGTGCGGACGACCGTGGCTACTACACTGGCGTGGGGTACACACCCACAGAACCCAATGGTTTTTGGAGATTTCGGCGTGCGCGCGCGAAGAAAAAACGAATGTGTCCCGCATGGTATTATTTGACAGGGATGATGGCCCTGGCAGGTGCGCAACCGTTGTCGCAGAAGTTCGAAAAAGTTGCTCGCAAAAGCCCGTTTGACAGAAATGTTTAAAAAGTGTTGGGTTTCCTACGAATCCGCAAGAGCGCGCGGGATGAGATTTTGACATTTTTTTGTTGAAAAACCATTGGTTTTTTGATGTTTTTATGTTAAAATCGCTCCGAACACTAAGCTTTTGGAAGGATTTCGTCTTGCGCGCGCGAATGTCCACTTTACCTTATTTTTTGCAAGGGATTCTTGAAATTTGATTATATTAGAACAAGAAATGTCATTTTATAGTGTTTTTTGCAAGGGAAAACGGATTACAACAAAACAACCGGATCTTGATCAACTCGAATTACCTGAGGCTTCCTCACGAAAATGATGAAAACGTGGCTGCGGCCTAGGCGCGGCGGGGGGGGCGCGCACCAGGGGGCCCAACAATAATTATTCTTTAGAATTAATAATGTTCAACAGCAACAGCAACGACGACAACAACAACCACAACAACAACCACAACGACAACAATAACAGCTGCAGCAACCACAACAACAGCAGCAGCAACAGCATCTGATCGCGTGTCATTCAAAACGTATGTCCCAAACCCTCGGTACCCGCCCTCTTCGTCTTCGATCGCACCCCCCTGGGCGCATATCGTCTCTACCTGCCGCGTGTACTTGGGGCAGCCTCTGAAGCAGGGGAAGACAAGACGGATTGAGGGGGGAGGGAGAAAGATGGAGCACGGGATTCGCAGGAGGGGGGCTGGGAGCAGAAACAGGGGAAGACAAGACGGATTGAAGGGGGAGGGAGAAAGATGGAGCACGGGATTCGCAGGAGGGGGGCGGGGAGCAGAAACAGCGTGGCAGAACCGGATCGGCCCATCGAGCGGGTAGACCCTGACGGGCGGGTGTGCAAGGCGAGCGCGAGCGGCCGGGTCGAGAAGGCGTGGTGCTGAAGCGTGCGTCCTGCACGAAGAATGAAGCAGGGAAGAGAGGACGGACGGAAGGACATGACAAGGGGGAGGGAAAAGGATGGAACACGAGAGAGAGTAGCAAGAGGGGAGCTCGGTTCAGAGAACGCGTGGCAGAACCAGATGGGCACAACAGCAATCATGTTCAGGGTCTGGTCATTCGAACGGATCGGCATCGTGTCGTGCCAGGGCGAGGGCTTGGTGGGCAGATGTCTGCCGCCATCCCACTGTATGCACGCCGTGATGTCTGCCGGCATTTGGCTGAGGAGCGCCTTGGTGACTGCGAGCCGCCCCTTGCAGCCAGAGCTGACGCCACTCCCCAGGCCCCATGCGACGTGTTTTTTCTTGACGTGGACCCCCGGAGGTCTCGACTCCTTCGCCTGCGGCCGTTTCCTCATCCCCGGCAGCTCGTGGGCGGCCCCGCCGGCCAGGGCCCCCCCGGGGCCCGAGAGCGGCCCCCCCCCCAAAAAAAACCATGCCCTCTCGTGGCTCGCCACGGCGCGAAGCGGGCCGGGGCCTCCTTCCACGGGAGGCGTTCCAGAGAGGCCCCCGCCTTCGAGGGTCGCGGGGGTTGCCACTTCTCCTTCGGCGAATGGCGGCGGAAGCAAAACGAAGTGAAGATCGCCCCACCAGAAGATGGCAAGGTGTTTTGGTTCTGGGCTTCCGGAACCCGCCAAACATCCAGAGGAGGACACCCCCCCTTGTTGATCGTGTCTGTTATTCGTTGTTTTGCCGATCGGCGCGGGCCCTCGCACCCCCCCCTCCACCCCCCCTGGAGTAGATCTTGGCTGTCTCTTGGCGCCTGTTTCGAGCAGGTGGAGCCTCCCCCCAATGATGGACCCACGGTCGCGACACAGCCGCGCTGAGCAGAGAGGTCCGGAGCCAGGACGCCCCCCCTCCTGCTCCCCCTCCTCCTCCTCCTCCTCCTCCTCCTCCTCCTCCTCCTCCTCCTCCTCCTCCTCCTCCTCCTCCTCCTCCTCCTCCTCCTCCTTGGCTGCAGCGGGGCGGGCCTGGAGCGGGGCGGGGCCTCGGCCGGCTCGCGGCCCGCGCCCCCTCCCTCCCCCGGCGGTCGCACGCCCTGGCGGCGGCGCCCCCCCCCCGGCGGGAGCGGCCGGCGGACAACGTCAGCGAGGCGAGGCCCGCGGTCCCTTGCCAGGGGGAGGTCTGTTTCGCCTGCGGCCCCGCCCTGCTCCTCCTGCCAGGGGTCCCCGGCGGTTTCTGCTGCGCGCTCTCTCTCTTGGGGGCGCGGCCAGGAGGGGGGTGATGAGTTAGGGGGGAGGGATCTCGTGGCGGGGGCCACGTTTTTTTGTCCCCCAGATTTCATGGCGCCTCTCCTCGTTTCATTACGTCCCTGGCCACCCCCCTGGGCCGCGCACATGCCGCCGGCCATGATATGCGCCCCCCCCTCTTGGACACCCCCCTCTTGGCCGCCCCCGACTCTCGGTCCCGGTTGGGCCTCCCAGGGGGCCTCGTCGCCATCGCCGAGTTCCCTTCGAGATCCTCGGCAGGACGCAACCCCAGGACGGTTATGTTTCCTGGAGGCGGCTTCGGGGAAAAATCGGCCCAGACCGCCGACGTCGTGCGGCGAGGCCCAGGCCGCGTCGTCGTCGTCGCCATCGCCGTCGTCGCCGCCGTCGTCTCCGTCCTCTCCTCCGTCGGAGCAGTGCTCGGAGGAGAAGTGACAGGGAGAGAGAGAGAGAGAGAGAGAGAGAGAGCGAGAGGAGAAAACGAGGGACACGCAGACAGACATTCAGACAGATGCCGAGGGATGTAAGGAGAGAGAGAGAGAGAGAGAGCGAGATGCAGATAGCAACGAGGCACAAGAGCACAAGACTTGGAGGCTGCCGTTCGCAGGGGGTACGTACGGGTGGGTGGTCAAAGGGCGTGCAGGCTGGTGGCCTCGGGGGCGCGGGCCCACTGCTCTGCTCCAGAGGTCGTGGCCTCGGAGGCGTGGGCGTCATCGTCTGTTGCCAGGGATCGCGGCCCCGTGAGCGCGGAGACATACACATGGCTCATGTCTAACTATTCGAAAGCTCTTTGGTCTTGTCGGGGGGGCCTTTCATCCCTAATCGCTCTGTCCTGGGCCTCTTCCTGGCCACCAGGGGGCCAGGAACAGTTAGAAACGAGCACAGTTTTCAATGAGCACGATTAGAATCGAACGACGTGTCGTCTCTCTCCCAGAAGCGGTGGCCTCGGGGGCGCGGGCACCTTGCACTTCCACGTGCCCGCGGGCGCCCAGAGACCACGAGGCCGTGGCTCCGGCGCGGCGAAGAGGTGCGCCCGTGTGCGGGCCGTGGGGAGCCCTCGCGCGCTCTCGGGATCGGCCCGGTCGAAGCTTGTCAAGAAGTGGAGGAGGAGGAGGAGGAGGAGGAGGAGGAGGAGCCTTGTGCTCGTGGAGCAGCCTCGTGCTCTGAGGACTGAGAGCTGCAGGCTTAGCATGACCTTTTTTTGCCGAGCTCCTGCAAGCACCTGCAGCGGCGCAAGACTGTGCACGATCGCACGAATGAGAACTGGGCCACTCAGCTGCGGAGACCTCGGCCGCACAGCCTGGTGCCCCCCCAAACAGGGGGGCGGCGGATGGCTAGGTGCTGCATGGATTTATACGTATATGCACACAGGGCCCCCATGTCGCTTCACACCATGCACCTTTCCCCTTCAAGTTTTGCCCGCAGGCAGCGCAATAGCATGACAATCACAAAGGACCGAAGATATCCTTGTTCCCGTTTTCTTGATCGTCGTTGCCATCATGGTTTTCCTCGGCCCCGCCATCATGTGTGTGTGTTACTCCCCTTCCCGCTCTGGCCTATCCATTTGGACCCTTTTTTTGTTTGCGGTGACTCCTCCCTGGTGGGTCTCTTCGGGGCCTCACGAAGGCTTCTTGGGACCTTCTTGAGGACCTCTGGAAGCCTACTGGGCGCGTTTTGAGGCCTCCGGGGCCCCCTTGCTGCCAACCACGCTTTCCCTCGACGACCAAGCCACGATGTGGAGTATTTTGGAGACGTATTGGGGCCATCTTGGGCCGTCATAGGGCTCTCTTCGGGCCGTCATGGGGCCCTGTTGAGCCGTCTTGGGGCTCTCTTGGACGTTCTGGATGCTAAATGCGATGTTCGGGGCTTCTTTGGCGGTCTCGGAAGCCCACAGCAGAATCGAGTGCCCCATGATCGTACACATACATCTAAAAAACAATGATCTGTGCGTTTGGAGGGCCTCTTGGGTGTCTTCTCTGGGTCGTCCGCAGGCGGCGCCGAGGAGATGTCCTGCTGGAGCGTCCAGCGGGTCAGGCGAGGCCGAAATTCGTATGGACAGGGGGAGGCCTGTTTGGGGGAGGGGTCCTTATAAAAAAACTATATAAATAGTAAAAGATTGCCAGCGTGGACCCGAAACAGTCCGTTGTTCAACTCGATGTGCGCTTGTCGGCGCAGACTGTGTATGGGGCAACACATCTGATGTTGGAAAACAGACGGCGCGATATGCGCGATACAACCTGCATTGTGCAGGATATGTGGTGCAATGGACACAATGTTGCCTATGTTGTGCAAGCTACGTGGTGCACGCTCTAAGCTATGCTGTGCATCATGCGTGGTGCAAGCTATGTTGTGCAGACTCTGTGCAACATGCTGCGGTTGTGCAGTGTCTGTGACGCGATCCAGGCTGGTGGAGTCTGCTGTGGTGGAATACATCTGGTGCGAGCTGTGCTGTTCAGCAGATGGGTTGCAAGACACGTGGTCCAGCACATCTGGAGATCTCCAAATCCCTTATCGTATCCGGGTCCGGTTTTTTTAAGGCGCTTTTGTTGTATTTGGGGGGGCCTGATTTATTAGGGCGCTTCTCCTTGGATTGGAGCTTGGGGGGTCCCGTTTATCCAGGCGCCCCGTCGAAGAAGGGGGTCCAGAATATCAGGTCGCATGTGGAGGGGGGTCCGGTCTTTTTAGGGGGGGTCGATGAAGAAGGGATCTGGAGCAAGCCGTGGTGCAGTATGTGTGTGGTGCAAGCCACGCGGTGCAGTCCAGGTTGCCCTTGGAAACGCCAGCCAGCGCACGAGGCGCCCACGGGCGGACGCTGGCCGAAAAATCCAGGAGAGCGCCAGCTGGAGCACGGGGCGCCCGCGGGGCGCCCCACGGGCGGGCGCCGAGCGAGAGCCCTCCTCCTCCTCCTCCTCCTCCTCCTCCTCCTCCTCCTTCTCCTCCTCCTCCCTCCTCCTCCTCCCTCCTCCTCCTCCTCCTCCTCCTCCTCCTCCTCCTCCTCCTCTCCTCCTCCTCCTCCTCCTCCTCCTCCCTCCTCCTCCTCCTCCTCCTCCTCCTCCTCCTCCTCCTCCTCCTCCTCCTCCACCTCCTTCTCCTCCTCCTCGGGTCGCCTACGGCCCCAGGGGAAACCGTGCAGAAGCCATAGTGCAAGCATTGGTTGTTGAGCGTGGTTAATCACAAACACAGACACACTTGCGCAAACACAAATCAACGCCATCTCCGTGCACACCAGCATTCGCGCTCCGCGTGCGAGCCAATGGCGCGGGATTTCTTCTGCGCCGCAGATGCATAGGGAAGCCGCACCACCGTGCGCCATTTATATTATACGTCTGTACACAATGTACACACGCAGGCCTGGACTATTCGAAGAAGGCGTGGCCATGCAAAAAAGAGTCTCTCAGGCATTCGTCCGTTTCCCTGGAAGAACACCATGGAAGAGGATCGGCGAGCTCTCTAGCACGACGGGTGACTTCGAGGAGGCTATTCGCTGCCAGTGGACGCTGATGCTCAGGCGCAGTTTCAATTTGTACCCGAAAGTTAGATTCTGGTTGCCTTCTGACCAACCCATCGAGTTTGGGTACGCTGACGAGAACGCGGACATCGTCAGCGTGAAAGACCCACTGCCAGAAGGTATTTGGTCTCAGGACCTGAAGCAGATGCTGAACAGATGCGGCTTCCTCGGTGGCGAGAAGGAGATGGTTTATCAAAAAGGCCAGAATGTGAGGAAGGCGATGTGGGGCCCTCACGGTTTGAAGAAAGGCTGGCATTTGACAGGCCGTAGTCAATTGCAATACCGCGATCTACTCCGACAGCCCGAAAATGCCCAAAAGTGGGCGAACAGGGCGATCCAAAGGCGCCACGCTTAGTCGGATCGATCGGACAGCGGTTCATTGGTGAACCGCTGAGTGGATCATCCGCGACCGCCGGTCTCATTTACGCGAAGGGGCAGAGCGGGCTAGGCAGAGTGTACCATAGGCTGGGTAATGGTTGGGCCAGTCATCCTTCTACAGAGAAGCGTTCGACCACTCACGTCGTCAGACAGGGCGCCTTGACTGGACGGCCTCGGTTCTCCGTCCAGCCTTTGAGCACGAGTTGGTCCACGGCTTCGACCAGCAGGAAGGGGTAGCAGAAGAGAGAGAAGGAGAAGCAGGGTAGGGAGGGACCACCCGACCCAGACTCCTTCGCGTCGTGACAAAGTCACGGCGGGAGGTGCTTGGCAATGTTCTGCCTTTGGTGGCTTCCATTTGGCCCTTAGATGAAGAGAAGGCCCCAGGGAAGCCAGAAACGTCTGGGAATTTCTGGAGGAAGAGGAGGACGACGACGACGACGGCGAGCACGACGCCGAGGAGAACAAGAAGGAGCAGGGGCACGAGCAGGAGCAGAATTAAGCTGGAGAAGCCGAAGGATGGAGGAGGGAAGTGACGAGGGTGCATGAAAAGTTCTCAGAGAGTCCAGCCTTTCCTCGTACAGGAGGGGGGGAGGGGGGGGATGAGGGAGGAGGAGGAGGACGAGGAGAAGGAGGAGGAGGAGGAGGAGGAGGAGGAGGAGGAGGAGGAGGGACACGAGGCAGGGGGAAGCGAATGCAGAGGGTGATGTCCAGGCAGAGCTGGTCCCTCCCTTGTCTGCCACCAGGCGGGGGGCCCGCGAGGGCTCCGCTGGTTTTTTGGGGACGGCACCCCAACGGAGGGAAGAAGGGAGAAGGGACGGGAGAGCCTGAGCAGGAGAAGAGTACTCCTCGCGCCTATCCCTCCCCAGTCGCTGCAGCCTTCTTGTCCGTCCGCCGACCGGGTTGTCCTGGAGGACCGCGATCCCCAGATTGCAGGTTTAGGATTGGACCCATCGTGCGCCGAGCAATCGGAAAATGAGGAGGGAGGAACCAGGAGGGGGGCGAAGGCGGAGGAGAAGGACGGAGAAGACAAGGAGGAGGAGGAGGAGGAGGAGGGGGAGGAGGGGGAGGAGGGGGAGGACGACGACGAAGAAGACGAAGAGGCACCTGGGGCGGAGGAGAAGGAGGAGCAGCAGCAGTTGGAGCATGAGGGTCAGGGGAGGCTGAGGAGGGAAGGAATGGACGGCTGCGGAGGCTAAGGCCGAGGAGGGAAGTAGCAGGGGAAGGCTAAGGAGGGAAGGATCAGGGGCAGGCTTGAAGGGGACAGCAACGGCGAGGAAGGCATCGGATCTAGAAATGTGGCCCGCGCAGGGGCGAGAGCGCCATTCTGAACGATGGGAGCAAGGCAACGATCCAGAAATGAGGCAAATGCTGCACCAGGAGAACCATTTGAAGACCGACCACGATCCACTTGAAGAGCACATCATACGGAACATCAATGAAACAAACCATGTGTGTCGAAAGCCATACACGGGAGAGGCGGGCATCGCGTGAAAATGTCCGGGGGAGAGATGGAAGTAGTATGTACTCGGATTGAGTGGTTGCGAAGAGGAGAAAGGCGAGAGGAGGTAGGATGACGAGGAGGAATCGGAGGAGGAGGAGGAGGAAGAGGAGGAGGAGGAAGAAGCAGGGCGAAGGGGAGGAGGGAGGAGGGGGGAGGAGGGGGGAAGAAGAAGCGAGGTATTGAGGAAGAGGGAGGAGGAGGAGGACTGAGGAAGAGGGAAGAGGGAGGAGGAGGGAGGAGCGATGAGGGAGGAGGCAAACTAAGTTCGCGCGTGTCATGTCTGACATCTTTCCCCTTCCCTCATCTCTTCTCATTGTGCTGATTGTTTTATGATCTCATCGCGTGATGCGCAAACAGAAAAGGGAGCTGCCCATTGGAGGAGGAAGAGGAGGAGTAGCAGCAGACCGGTCAGCAAGAGGAAGATGAAGAAGAGGAAGGAAGGGGGAAGGAGGAGGAAGAGGTGGAGGACGAGCAGCAGCAGCAGCAGCAGCAGCAGGAGCGGGAGTAGGATCATGAGGTGGCCCCATCGATGCCTGTCCGCACGGATGAGTCCAACACAGGCGTAGAACCCGGGGAAGACGGAGGAGGGGAAAGGAGGGGTGTGACAATACAGTGCCGTTTGTTTATATTATACATGCTCCGCGTGCGGATCATGTATTAAAAATGCAGGGTTTAGGATTCAAAACAACGATGAGTTCATGCATAAATTCATTCATAAATTAGTCATGCAGTAAAATCCGATATTAAAAACGATGTATTACAAACTGCCCTGGAATCGGAACCAGAATGTTGGCCTGCGCTGTGACGAGAGCGCCGCCCGGGACGGCGGGAGCAACGCGCCGATCCTGGCACGGGGCCACCAGTTCAGCGTGAGCGCCATCTTGAGCGACCGAAGACGTCCTGCGTGGAAAGAGGCGTACGGCCACGACACTTACATAGGGGCCGCTTTGGATTTAGAAGGGGGTCGCTATTCCTCGGGTCGTTCCGTGGTCGGTCGTTCTTGTCGCCCTCCTCGTGAACCCCAGCTCTTCGGGTGCCGACAAGGCGTTTGGTTGCCTAGTTGGCGGTGCTCCTTCTGTTAGCAGCCAGAAGACTGTATGCCACGTCAAAGGTGTAGACCCAGTGCACCCGCAAGTATGCGGGATAAAAGGGGTCCCGTGCGGACAGTGCCCGAGGAGAGAGGAGAGCAGTTTTCAAATACATTATCTGCGATGAGGAAGCATGGAAGATGGAAGAGGAGGAGGAGGAGGATAGAAGGAGAATTGGAGGAGGATCGAGGGAAGAGGAGGATAGAGGGAAGGAGGATAGAAGGGTGATAGAGAGACGGATGGAGGAGGATAGAAGATAGAAGGAGGATAGAGGGAAGAAAAGGAGGAGCAGAAAAGGGGAGGCGGAGAAGCAGCAGGAGCAGGAGGAGGAGTCAGGAGGTGGCAGGAGGGGGGGGGGAGGGGGTAGGAGGGTGCAGGAGGGAGGCGGGGGAGGACGAGGTGGGGGAGGCGGAGGACGAGGAGGGAGGAGGAGGAGGAGGACTTGAGAATCTGCCGTGCCAGCCAAGGAACAAGTATCAGGTGAAGGGCACGGGCATCCGTGCGGTCGATTGGTTTGGCGGCATGGGCCGCTGGGTCGCCAGCTTAGCCCGTCATCGCCAGCTCCCTGCTCCTGCTCCTCCTCCTCCTCCTCCTCCTCCTCCTCCTCCTCTTCCCCCATCCTCCTCCTCCTCCTCATCCTCATCCTCCTCCTTCTCCTCCCCCATTCCTTTTCTTCATGGACAACTCAGACCTGTCGCGCCTCTAGGCCAGTCAGAAGGGCGGGCCAAGCGTCTCGCTTGAGACGGCCTTACCATGTATGAGCCTCGAGCTTAAACATTGGCAACAACTTCGCCGACGGAGGGTGGGTCGCTTCCAAAATCTGGCGCTCGCCTCAGCACCGCGCATATTCGCTTCAAAAAACTGTAAGAGCTTCCCGGATTCGGGGCGGGTCGTTTCCAACATGTGGCTCTCGCCTCGGCGCCGCGCACAGTCGTTGAAAAATGAAGGCGTGCAACGCATGCAGGAGAGGTGGTTTTCAAAATGTGGTTCTCGCCATGGCGCCGCGCAGATTCGTCTTACGAACTTGCAAGAGCTTCAGGGATTGAGGGAAGGATTGAGGGCAGCTCGGTTTCAAAAGGTGGTTCTCGCTTGAGTACCGCGCACACTCGCTTTAAACATTTGTAAGGGTTTCGTTGGTGCTGATGACGAACGTACCAGAAACTGCATGTTAGAACGATTTAAGTTGGTCAGGTAGCAACAGTTACGTCGACTCGGGGTTTTGAAGTCCCAGGAGTTGTGTTCTGGCATTTCAGTACCGTCAAGACGCAACAGTCCGGTTGACTCGTGGCGTCGAAGTCATGAGAATGGTGTTTTGGCACCCTTCGGGATCTTCAAACAGTTGATTCCTAACGGGGCACTTCTATCAGCGGAACTGAATCCGTGTAGGGGCCTATGGGGAGCTTGGAGGGAGGGTAGATTCCAGCTTTGTTGATGGACCGTCGGTTTACAGGGGTCCTCCTCTTCTTCCTCCTCCTCCTCCTCCTTCTCCTCCTCCTCCTCCTCCTCCTGCCCCGTCGCCATTTTGGCTCAAAGCCGCGTTCCACCGCATTCTCTGCAACCCTTTCGCCCATAGCCAGTGGCGCTTTGCTGGCGGCCCAGAGGCGGCGCGGCTGAGGAAGGGACGGAACGGCACGGCTGCGGGACGCGCCCCGGCAAGGCCGCTTTCGGGGGGGCCTTTGCGGGGCGCAGTGGTAACGCGGGCTGCCGCTGACAGCCCGATCACGCGTCTCGAATGAGCTCGCGGAGGCGAAAGGAGTGCTAGTACTTGCAGGACGCTTTCGCGCTGGACATCGCGGACGGGAACAGTCGTCCTCGAGACGGGCGGTCACACGTGCAAGGCCGGACAACCTGGCGGTGTCCAGGGCGCCTCCCGGGGAGTGCATCGTCCAGGCGTGCTACGCCGAGGCGCCGCTGAAGGCGTGCAGCCTGGCTGTCAGCAGGCCCGCTGCGAGGGCGACGGCCTGGAGCACGGCCGCCCCCGAGGTCGTGCCTGGTGCTCTCGCCAGCGGCGCCGTGCGGCAGCCCGCCGGCGAGCAGGCAGAGGTGCTGCCGCGGGCGCTTGCTGCCGCACACCCCGCGTGCGGGGCCCATACGTGACCCCCCCCGGCACGGTGCTCGCCGAGGGCGGAGGCGCGCATAGGCTTGCCCGCGGCTTGCGGGGCTGCCGGAGCGGCGGGAGCCTCTCCGGCGGTGCCGCCTGCCGCGGCACCGAGCGTGGTCGAGTCCGCTTGCGTGGGGGGCGAGGCGGAGGCCGAGGTTCCTCGCAGAGGCTTGTGCCCATGAGGGCTCGGCTGCCCCGTGGATCGTCTCGAGCTGCCTCTGGAGGCCGAGGTCCCGAAGCTCGACGCGCCAGAGGCATCGTTTGGGCCAGGGCATCGTTCTGCCCAGGGCCTCGTTCTTGCCCAGAGGGAGGGCGCTGCGGAGGCCCACGCCGCTCTTCCTCGGGCCGGAGAGGAGCAGGCGGCGGTGCTCGCTCGTCTCGAGTGGGCTCTGGAGGGAGCGGCCCAGATCCTCGAGTCGCTGAAGGCTGCACGGGCTGCGCCGTGGATGCTGGAGGCCGCGAGGACGGACGTTGGGAGGGCCCTCGCGGCCACGGGGGGGGACGGCCGAGCGCCGCGCCGCAGGCGATTCGTGGCAGAGTGTGCGGGCTGGCCGGAGCCGGCGGCGGCCCCCGCCCTTTGCCTTTCCCCGGCTCCGCGGCGCGGGCGCGGCGCGGCCGTCGGAGGCAGACTCTTTTTGTTTTGTTTCTCTCTCTCTCTCTCTCTTTCTCTCTCTCTCTCTCTCTCTCTCTCTCTCTCTCTCTCTCTCTCTCTCTCTCCAATGATGGGCGTCTGACATCCTCCTCCTCCTCCTCAATTCTCCTCCTCCTCCTCCTCCTCCTCCTCCTCCTCCTCCTCCTTCTCCTCCTCCTCCTCCACTTCCTTCCGCCTTGCGCAGCATTGGGCTGCCCGAGCGCGCGGGCCCGAGGCGCCCTCCCGGGGGCAGAGTGGGGCACCGGAGCTCGAGGCGTTTAGGAAATCTTAAATACCTCAAGGACCCTGGGCCTGCAAGGCCATGCCGTGGGCAGTCGTCTGGCCCCCTTGGCGCCGCCTGGCGCGGCGGAGCGACCGCCGTGCGGCACCTGGGGGTGGATTTCCGCGCAGGCCGGCGCGCCCGCCCGCGAGGCCCAGCACGCGCTGGCAAGTCGGCTGGGGTCGTGCATCGCGCTGGCCCTGTCCGCAAGGCACGAGCGCGGGTGGGCAAGGCGCGTTTTTTGCGCAAGGCGCTGCGGGACGTGGCCCGTTGGCAGGAACGGTCTCCATGTGAGTAGTGCACTACGCAGACGAGTGGTGGCGGACCACCGACCAACGCCAGGCCAACTGCCGAGTGCTAACGGCCAAGAAGCTGCGGAGCGCCTGGACAGGGACTTGCCCGAAGCGGGGCCTGTCGGGGCAATGCTTCGGTCGCTGAAGTGGACTGGCTGGGAAGCCCAGCGTTCCACTTCATTCATTTCGCCCACGCTGGGTGAACTCTCCGTGCTCAGCGTCGGGCCCAAGGAGATATGCGGGTATTTCGAGCAGGACGTGCTGACGACCACCACTGCCGCCAGGTCGCGGCACGCCTTGGTGGATGATCACCCTGACATCCAGTGGGAAGGTCTGCGCGCGGTCGTGGAGAACCAGGGCCTTCACGCGGCACATGGTGACCTCCCTGGCTGGCGGCACCTACATGACGAGGCAGGTGGCCCACCAGTTGAGCTACCTGATTGAGCCGGCGTGCCCGCGCTGCGCGGTGACAGACACGCCCGCCCACCGCGTTATGGTCCGCACCTGGTTCGAGGCCGGCCGCCTGGAGCAGGGAGAGAGTTTGACTGGGACTGAAAGGGTGCGAGACGTGCTACGATCATCTCCATTTGTCTCACCTCCTCCCCTCGCTGGCTGATGCGCCCTCCCGCCCCCTGCCTCGGTCGTCAGAGCTTTGTGGGCGAGGAGGATGTTGGATCGAGCAGGTTTAAGTTTGTCCCAGGGGGGGCCGTGGCGGGGGGATGGGTCGGCGTCGATTTCGATCCTCGTCGCTTCGGACGGGGGGCTTCGACGGACGTAGTGCAAAAGAACCCCGCCACGGGTTGCTTCCGTCGCCTGTTAGGGACCGTGCCCCCTCACATGGCCAAGTCTGTTCTTGCTGCCGAGCACTTCGCTTTCGACCGAGGGCCTTCTTCAGCGACGGATCTTGCCCCTACATAGGTGATCGTAATGTCGTCCTCTCGGGTGTTCGCTCAGGACCCGAGTTTGGGGCCAACCCTCTGGAGCGTGTCAGAGGTCTCTGGAGGGGCTCTCCCGTCAGGACGGGGCCTACAATGCGCACATTCAGCAAAAGGCCCACGTCGACGTTCCGACCTGCCCTGTTTCGGAGACAGACTGGCGTGCCTGCCTTACTGACCAGGCCGACCAAGCCGCCAAGCCAGCCTGTAAGCTGCACCCTACTTCGGGCCAGGGCACGGTCAGCCTGGAACATTAGTTTTTCAGGGTTCAATAATTATGTATGCCGCTTCACTTTTTCCTCGGGACGAATGGAAGGACTTCGACCGGCCGCACAGCGGCCGCAGGCCAGCTTGTATGATCGCTCACGAGTTCGTCCAGGTCGGGCCCTCCAGGTGGCAGTGTAAGCGATGTTTGCGGTGCAAGGTGGTTCCAGGCAGTGCCTTGGACCGTAAGGAGTGTAGGCAAAGCGACACCCCCGATAGTTGTTTTTAACTAACAACAAAAACGGGTCATGCAGTTTGCCCACAACCACTAGATTGAATGGTGTGAGGTCACCCATCGGCCCGAGACCGAGATCGGTGACACCCTCGTGTTCTGCGAGAAATGTCGCCAGTGTGCCACCTCGAAGCCGTTGGGGCTGGGTAAGGTTTGCCCCAGATACGGTGCGGACGGCTGGCAGCGTAATGAAGCTGCCCAGCACAATACGCGCCGTTTCTTTCAGCGCTAGCAACCCAAGTGTGGGTTTCTGAAGCGTGCGTCCCGTACGAAACGCGAGAAAGTCTCCAGGGAGCGCGATTCCCAAATAAATCGTGAGGAAGTCCACAGCGAGAGCGTGATTCCTGAATGTCGAGGGGGCGGCGTCTGAGTTAATTTCGAGGAAGTCGCACGCCAGAGCGCGATTCCTGTAAAATGTGTGAAGAAGTCCGGCGCGAGAGCTCGATGTGGGAATCAGTTACGAGGAAGTATCAAGCGGGGGCCGCCCAGGGGCCAGGAGACCAGTTTGGTGGCCATTGATTTTTTAGTTAACAAACAGGGTGCGAGCCCCGGGAGAAGTACCTTAATTGAGGAATGCAGTGGTTGCCGGAGGGGGGATCAACAATGATAACTCTTGAGGGTTGGAAACCCAACAGCAACAACAGCAACAGCAACAGCAGCAACAAACACAAGAACAACAACACCACCAACAACAACAGTCACAACAACAGCAACAGCAAAAACTAACTCAACAACAGCAACACCAACAACAACAACAGCAATAATCATTTTAAGACTGTTCGCCCTTATCTGCTCGAGTGTCCAGCAACGCCTATTTCCCAAACCCTCGATTCCCGCCCTCTTCGTCTTCGATCGAACCCCTTGTGGGGGGTATACCTTTCTTCCTGCAGGCCGGACCCCGGCAAGCGGCGGGGCGGCCGCGGACCGTCGGCCTGGCCAGCGGCAGCGCTGATCGGCGGGGCGGCCGCGGACCGTTGACCCGACCCCAAGAGGGACGGACAGGGGACCGACCACGACGACGACGACGTCGACGACGGCGACGACGACGACGTCGACGATGACGGCGACGAGCGAAAGCGATTGCGAAAGAGAACTACAGCAGGGCCACAAGGACACGAAGTAGGCCACGAAGGGCAACAGCGGGGACACGAAGGGAATGCGTATGGGGCCACGAAGAGCGCGAACGAGCGGGGGCCACGAAGGGCAGATAATGCGGGGCCACAGAAGGCAACGATGGGGCCATTGAGGGTAGCAACTGGGCCACGTAGGACATATGCATATGGGGCCACCACGGGCGCGACCGAGCGGGGGCCACAAAGGGCATACATATATGGGGCCACGAAGGGCGAGGGGGCCACGAAGGGATGCAACGGGGCCACGAAGGGCAGCGAGGGGGCAACGAAGGGCATACATATATGGGACCACGAAGGGCTGCGACGGGGCCACGAAGGGCAGCGAAGGGGCCACGAAGGGCTGCAACGGGGCCACGAAACAAAGCGAGGGGGCCACGAAGGGCTGCAACGGGGCCACGAAGGGCAGCGAGGAGGCCACGAGGGGCTGCAACGGGGCCACGAAACAAAGCGAGCGGGCCACGAAGGGCTGCAACGGGGCCGCGAAGCAAAGCGAGGGGGCCACGAAGGGCTGCAACGGGGCCACGAAGGGCAGCGAGATCCCGATTCCTATGTAATCTGTAAGCGTGAGCGCGACTCCTGGGTGCCTGGGTGTCGGGAGCGCGGCGCTTGAGTAAAGTGCAAGAAATTCCAACGCAAGGGCGCTATTCTTCAGTAAATTGCAAGCAAGTCTCCAGCGAGAGCGCGACTCCAGAGCGCGGGGAGAATGAATTCTAAGGAAGTCCCAAGCGAGAGCGCGATTCCTGAATAAAACGTGAGGAAGTCTCGGGCGGGAGCGGGGGTCCTGGTAAATTGTGAGGAAGTCTCAGGCGGGAGCCGCTGTAGTTGTAAACTGGGGGCCAACGACACAGTTTGACCTTCAAGACTTTCCCTGATAAACAACAGGGTGCGAGCCCCGGGAAGGGCACTTCAATCGAAAAAACAATGTGCACCGGACGGGGGGGATCAACAATAATTATTTTTCAAATATGAGAGTTCAACAACAGCAACAACAACATCAACAACCACAAATCGAAAGGGAGCGGGGGACGAGGGTGGATGGGGGGCAGAGAGGAGGGGCCGCACCCGAGGCGGTGAAGTCGCACTTCCAGGGGGTGGTTGCCTCCAACAACGCGGGGTCGGTGCGGAAGACGAAGAAGCAGCTGAAGTACCCGAGCGGCGGGAGGGACAACGTGCAACGGAAGTGGCTGCATAATGAGCGAATTTTTCCCGTCCTACACCCTTCTCCACCTCCTCCTCCTCATCATCATCCTCATCATTATCATCATCGTCATCATCATCCCCCCCTTCTCCCTTCCCTCTCCGTCGTTTGTCCTGCCTACTGTTCCCCGTCCCTCTCCCTCATGCATCCTTCCGATCCTCCGTTCTCCTTCTCCTCCGCCTCGTTCTCGTCGTCCTCCTCCTTCTCCTCCTGCTCCTCCTCCTCCTTCTCCTCCTCGCTCTCCCCTCTCCTGCTTCTCCTCCCTCTCCCACTCCCTATCCCTTCGCCCTCCCTCCCATCCCTCACCCTTCTCAATCTGAGCTGGATGCGCAGCGGCCGCATGTCTCTCGAGCGCGAGGCCCTCGAGTGGACGGGCACGCCAGCCCTCCGCATGCGCATCCGGCGTGTTGCCTCTGCAAGTTCCGCATGTGGTGTGTGTGTGCGCGTGTGCTTCAGACTCCTGGTGCTCATCATGATCACGACTGCCCGCTTCCCCATCGACCAGATCGTGACGTTCGTGATTGCACAGCCCCACAGCGTCGCTGGGGTACCCGAGCCAGCTGCCACTAGCGCCGATGCGAGCCTCGGCCGCGCTGTTCTTGCATCCGACGTCGTGGTTTTGTTTGCGGCATGGGCCCGTGGACTGCTCGACCCCGTCCGGTGGATCGTTTCATGGATCCCAGGAGGCCGTCGTTGAGGAAGTTCGGACGCCTTTGGGGCAAAAGCGTGGCGAGCTGGGGGGGTCTCTTGGGGCGTCGTGGAGGCTCCGAAGACCGAGACGGCGAGTGCGACAAGATCTAGGAGAAATCAGAGGACAATCGATGACTCGAGCCTCTTCGGGGCCTCTTGGGGGTCTTCTTCGGGCAGCCTTGGGCCGTTGAGGGAGCCGGCTTGCTCTGTCTCGCAGCCCTCGTGGGCAGCATGTGGCCCGTCCTGGGGATCTCTTCGGGACCTCCGTATGCCTTCTTGGACCCTCCGAGGGGGCTCCGAGCCCGCCTTCGAGGGGCACACAGCTACACACAGTGATCGATAAATAGGTAGCTAGATAAAATGAGATAGAGATAGACAGGTAGACATATAGACAGAGAGTTATATATAGATGTGCATACATATATATATAGACGTGTATTTGCGCCCAGTCCCATGGATAATGGACAGGTATTAATATCAAAGTATGGCATGTCCGACTGTATCAGCACAGCTATGCGTTCTACATGCATCACGGTTCGGCACCACCCCTGTCACAAGCCTCTTTAGCGTTGGCGACCAAGAGCGTACAGGCATCGCGGTGAGAACGTCGGGGGGGGGGCTGCAGCCGACCGGGTTTGAAAGGGGTTCGGCGTTCCTCAGGTCTTTATGTGGTTTCTTCTCTGGCCCTCCTGCTGCACGCAGGCGCTCCTGCGGCCAAAAAGGGGGCTCGTTCCTTATTGATCGGTCCTTATGTCAGCAGCCCGAATGTAGGGCTGGACTTGTTGGGGGTGCTCTCGACATCTGCAGAGCTCTGCTGGGGCCGTCAAGAATCGGCGACTACAAAGGGCATCGTTACGCCCGGGTGTGGTTTGCGATCGGCACCGTCGGGGCCTGGGCACGACACTGTCCTCGTCGAGCCTCCTCGGGGCGCGGCGGAGAGCTCTGTTGAGGTCCTCCCCCGCCCCCCAGGGTACCCTTCAGGGTGCCGGTTGCAAACCACACCCTTTGCAAAGCACACCCATGGGAGTCGCCGAAAGGAGCCCGCCCAGGGCAAAAAAATCTCTCCCGGGGGCGGCGTCCAGAGCCCCCTTGGGCCGGCAGCCCGAAAAAGAGACGGAGGCCTCCCGAGACCCGAGCAAGCGGGGGGAGGGGGTAAAAAACTAGCTTTCGACGGACGACGACGACGACGACGACGACGACGACGACGACGACGACGACGACGACGACGACGGCGACGACGACGACGGCGACGGCGACGACGACGAGGACGACGGCGACGACGACGACGAGGACGAGGACGACGACGAGGACGACGACGACGACGCCGACGACGACGCCGACGACGACGACGACGACGACGACGACGACGACGACGACGAGGGCGACGAGAGTGCTGGGGGGCGGGGGGAGAAAAGAGCGGCTTCAGCGCGCGCTCCGCACAGCAAGGCCGCCAGAGGGGATACCGCGTTCGGCCCCGAAGCGCCAGAACCTGGTCCCGAGCGAGGATCCGAGGAGGAAGTGGTGAGCGGCCCGCGCGTGCTCCCGCGCCCGCGAGCGCGGGGGGGCAGGAGGGCAGGAGGTGAGGAGGGAGGGGAGGCAGGCAAGAAGGAAGGGAAGGAGGGAGGAGGCGGAGGGAAGCGGGCGGAGGAGGGAGGAGGAAGGGCGAAGAGGACGAGGAGGATTGGAGGAGATGGGGGGGGGCGAGATGTGCGCGGCGCCAGAGCGAAGGCACCATTGACGGGCAGCCGCCCTCCAACTGTGCATATACGGTTGCGCGCAGCATGCTATGCACATGCATGTAGGCCTCACGCGAGGGCGACCTCTTGATACGCTACTGCTCTCCATCGGTGCAGCTGTCAAATGTTTGTTCGCCGTATGGTGGGAGTCGAGTGCGGCAGCCGCAGTTTGAACGCCACCCGCCCACCACCTGTGGATGTGCTACGGAGTTCAAGTTGCATGCGCACTAGAAACCCCAGGCGAGAGTCACCGTTTGAAAACCAACCGCCCTCAACCCGCCTGACTGCTGCAATCGTGTAATATATATATATACACACATACATACATACATGCATGCGTGTATATGTACGTGGCTCGTGTGTTTGTATGTGCGTGTGTGTATGTGTGTGTGCGTGTGCGTGTGTGTGTGTGTGTGTGTGTGCTAACCAGCGTGGGCCCCAAGCAGTGTGTTTCTGGCAATCGACATTGTGCAATCAATGTGGTGCAACCTGTGTGACGCAAATTTGCGGACCCATGTATGTAGTTAAGTCTACGTTGTACATTCTATGTTGTGAAATCTACGCAGTGCAGTTAATGCAATGCCAGAAATAGGTTTAGCGCAAAATTTGCTGTGCGCGCGATCGTTGTACGATATACGCATATAAAAATGAGTGTGCGATTGATAGTGTGCAATTTATGTAAAGAGATATACGTTGTGCAATCTACGCTGTACAATCTAAATTGCGCATTCCATGTGGTGCAGTCCATATGGTGCAGTCTATGTGGTGCAGATCACTTGCCGAACTTGAAGTTGTCAACTCCACTGCTCGCGCAATCATCCCACCCACCCACCCGCAACTTGGTTTGCAAAACCCATGCGGGACCGAGCACAGATATCGCTCCAGGATCATCTTGGAGCCCTCGGGGGCGTCTCAAGAGCGCCCCAAGAAGGCCAGAGAAGCAAGACGGCCGACGACGACGACGACGACGACGACGGCGGCGACGACGACGACGCCGACGTCGACGACGACGAAGACGACGACGCCGACGCCGACGACGACGACGAAGACGACGACGACGTCGCCAACGAAGACGACGACGAGGGAGGAGGGAGGACGACGACGACAACGACGACAACGACGACAACGACGACAACGAGGGAGGAGGGAGGACGGCGACGATGCGAACGACGAAGAAGGAGGAAGGACGGCGACGCCGACGACGACAACGACGAGGGAGGAGGGAAAACGACGACGAGACGACGACGACAACGACGACGACGACGACGACGACGGCGACGAAATAGGAGGGACGACGACGAGACGCCGACGACGGACGACGACGACGACGACGACGAGGGAGGAGGAGGAAGGACGACCACGGCGACAACGACGACGGAAACGACCACAACGCCAAAGAGGACGACGACGACGAACACGAGGAAAGACAGAGGACGACGTAGGCGACGACGACGACGACGACGCGGAAGGAGGGAGGACGGCGACGACGACGACGACGACGACGACGCGGCAAGAGCGCGCGCGCACGCTTTTGTTGAAAATCCGTGTTGCGAAACCTGGTGTTTTTTCTAGGTTTTTTGGACGCGCGATTTTGAAATCCTTCCGAAACCGATGGGTTTTGGAGGATTTCGGCGTACGCGCGCGACGACGCGCGCGTCTGCACTTCGTCCCGTTTTTTGCAGAGGATTCTCGCGACGGCACACGCGCAAGGGCGCTCGACAGATTTCGACATGCGCGCGCGACGCCCGTTTGGTAGCATGTTGTGAAAATATTGAAAAAACAAATGGTTTTCTTAAGATTCCGCAAGAGCTCGCGCGTAAGCTTTTTTAGCAAATCAGTGTTACGAAACCCTATGTTTTGCATGTTTTTGGGAAACTCGATTGCGAAATCCTTCCGGCACCGAAGGTTTTTGAAGGATTTCGGCATGCGCGCGCGACGACGCCCGTGTGTGCACTTCGTCCCGTTTTTTTTGCAAGAGATGATTGAAAAAGTTTTATCTTAGAACAAAAAATGTCACCGCATAATGTTGTTTACAAGGGAACCTCAGGGGGGGGAACCGGGTTGGCCTGGGACATTGTGATTTCACATTTAGGATGGACGTGTGGTCAGAATCACACGTGAATTACATACCCGAAAGGGGGGCGATAACGCCGGGGGGGGTAGAGATTATTTTTTGGCAGAAAGGAGAATTGACTACCCTGCACCGCGCTTGACCACCTACACTGCTCGCGCAAACATCCCACTCACCCACTCGAAATTTGGTTGGCAAAATCTCTTAAGACCGTGACGGTGGGCACCAAATGGCACTTGGCAACGACAGCGACGCCGACGACGACAGCGACAACGACGACGACGACGCCGCCGACAACGACTACGACGACACCGACGACGTCTCCAACGATTTCGACGACACCGACAACGACGACCACGACGACACCGACGACGACGACGACGACGCCGACGCCGACGACGACGACGACGATGACAACAACGACGACGATGACGACGACGAAGACGACGACGACAACGACGACGACGACGTCAACGACGCCGACGACGACGACGACGACGACGACGACGACGGCGACGACGACGACGACGACGCCGACGTCGACGACGACGAAGACGACGACGACGCCGACGACGACGACGAAGACGACGACGACGACGTCGCCAACGAAGACGACGACGAGGGAGGAGGGAGGACGACGACGGCGACAACGACGACAACGACGACAACGACGAGGGAGGAGGGAGGACGGCGACGACGCTAACGACGAAGAAGGAGGAAGGACGGCGACGCCGACGACGACAATGACGAGGGAGGAGGGAAGACGACGACAACGACGGCGACGACGACGACGGCGACGAAATAGGAGGGACGACGACGAGACGACGACCACGGCGACAACGACGACGGAAACAACCACGACGCCAAAGAGGACGACGACGACGAACACGAGGAAAGACAGAGGACGATGTAGGCGACGACGACGACGACGACGACGCGGAAGGAGGGAGGACGGCGACGACGACGACGACGACGACGACGACGACGACGCAAGAGCGCGCGCGCACGCTTTTGTTGAAAATCCGTGTTGCGAAACCTTTAGTGGTTTTGTAAGGTTTTTGGACACACGATTTTGAAATCCTTCCGAAACCTATAGGTTTTGAATGATTTCGGCGTACGCGCGCGACGACGCGCGCGTCTGCACTTCGTCCCGGGGATTCTCGCGACGGCACACGCGCAAGGGCGTTCGACAGATTTCGACATGCGCGCCCGCGAAGCCCGTTTGATAGCATTTTGTGAAAAACTTGAAAGACCGATGGTTTCTTTAAGACTTCGCAAGAGCTCGCGCGAAACCCTATATTTTTGTATGTTTTTTTGGAAACTCGATTGCGAAATCCTTCCGACACCGCAGGTTTTTGAAGGATTTCGGCATGCGCGCGCGACGACGCGCGCGTGTGCACTTCGTCATATTTGTTTGCAAGGGATTCGTGCAAAAGTGCTATGCTAGAACAAAAGATATCCCCACGCATCATTTTTTACCCGGGAACCTCAGGGGGGCCGATCCCGGCCCCTCTGGGATAGTGTAAACTCATATTCAGTATGGACATGTAGTCAGAATCATATATGATTTACATACCCGAAAGGAGGGCGAACAACGCCGGGGGGGAGAGTCTATTTTCGTGTTAGAAAGGAGAATTAACTGCTGTCCGCAGTGAGTTGTCGACCCCGCTGCTCGCGCAATCATCCCACCCACCCACCCGCAATTGGGTTTGCACCAGCCCATGCGACAGCGATTGCGACGAGTGCTCTGTGTTGTTCGGTGCGTCTTTGCGCCCGCGCTAGCCCGCGCATGCTCTCGCGCGCAGCGACCAGCTAGTTTGGCGCTACCGACGCGGTCGCGGTGGTGCTGACAGCTGGGCACTTCCCAGCTGGTACTTTCGCGAATCGGCGATTCGGGCGGGCGCGGTATCACGACGACGTCGACAACAGTAGACACGAGGATGGTAGCAGAGGTGCTGCTGACGATAATAACAACGACGACGGCAAGGCCAACGACGGCGCCGATGCTGATCACGCCGACGACGATGATGGCGTCCTCGCGTCTGTGATGAAGGTCTTGGTAGGAGTTCGACATGCGCGCGCGGCCGACGCGCGAGAGTGGCCCGTGTTGGTAGTAGTTGACTCGGACCGCGCCCCCCCGCCCCAGCATTCGTGCAAGGGCGCTCGAATGATTCCGACATGCGGCGCGAGAGGCCTTTTGGGCAGAAGTTTGTGAAAATTGTGAAAACGTGTGGTTTTCTTGAGATAACGCAAAAGCGCGAGCGTATGTCTTTGTTTTGAAAACTGGCGTTGCACAGCCATGTAATTAAAATATGTGTTCAGGGCCTTCGATTCTACAGTCCGGACGAAACCTACAGTGTTTGACAGATTTCGGCGCGCGCGCGACGGCGCTCGCGCGCGTGAATTTCGCCCCTTTCTGCGCAAGGGATTATTGCAACAGCGCGCGCGCAGGAGCGTTCGAACGATTTCGACACACACGCCCGCGAGAGGCCCGTTTGGTCGAATGTGATGAGCGTGTTGAAGAACGTTCTGGGTTACGCAAGAGCGCGGGCACAAGTTTATTGTTCCTGAATATCAAAAACAAATCACGCGCGTTGCGAAACCAAGTGTTTTCACATGTTTCGCGACGCTCGATTTTGAAATCCTTGCGAAACCCAAGTTTGCTGAAGCATTTTAACAACGACGCGCGAGAGTGGCCCGCATGATACTATTAGACAGGGGTCGCGCCCCCCCCCCCCAAGCACCCGCGCAAGGGAGCCCGAATGATTCCGA